AGATTACACGTATGGTCCAGTGGGAGATTGTTGAAAAAATTAGAACATATGGGGCCACACATGTAATATATTAAAATATGTGGTGCTTTTGTTTAAATATTAGTCAATTAAAGTGATCCATTAAAGTTAATTTTGACTAATAGGTATTAGATTTCATGGAAATATAGTGTAGAAATCGGAATGTTGTTTTAAATTTATAAGGGGCCAATTTGATACAACTGAAAGAAAATTACTGCATATGCAGTTATTATTATTATTTTATTGGGTTATGGTCCACAATTTGATACTCACTTTTCATTCTCTGCATCCCCACTAACGGAAAGAAAAATGAAAAGAAGGTCACGAATCAATTGGAAGATCAAAACACATTCAAGCAAACATCAGACATATATGGATCAATATATGTTTATGCTTTATTATTTTCTCTGATTTCAACATAGAGTATGTATTAAGTTTTATATGTGAAAAGGACTTGATTAAAGCAAATGGATTGATAATCATTTTCTTGTTTTCTAACAAGTGGTATCAGAGTCACTCTATTGTTGAATTCTTAAGAAATTGAAGTTTTAAAATTCTGAATTTTTTGAATTTCGGGTTATTGGATCTTTTATCATGTTATTATATGGATTTTGATATAATTAAGGTTTTTTTTCCAAAAATTCGGATTTTAAAATTAAGTTTTTTAAGATATGTTAATTCAGGCTGCTGTTACAGCAGCGTGGGAATGCTGTTGGGGCTGATACGGCCCTCGGCCACTTGGGCCTTGGCGACACCGGCCCCGCCTCCAAGGAAGAAAGATAAAAGGTGGTTTTTTTTTTCAAACCCTAATTTTCAGTTTTGGAATTTTTGGAGGCGAAGGTTGGGTTGCAAATTTAAAGTTTTAGGGCCCCTTCTTGCAATTTAATATTAGGATTAGGGTTAAGTTATTTACATTTCAGCTCTTAAAGTTTAAAATTTATTTAAGTAGGGCTGGTGTGCTGTCGTAGACACCCAAAAATAGTCTTTAAACTTTTAAAACTAATGTAATAATGGAAGTAAGAGTCGATCCCATGAAGAGTGTGCAATTCAACAAT